AGAAATTAAACTAAGACAGGGCTCGAATTAACGCAAAAAAATCTAATCGCGAAAAAATTTTTTTTTTTTTTGCTCTCTCCCCCCCCCCCTCTCTCTCTTCTAGCTCGCGCCGATGTGCGGTAACGGGGGGGGGGGGGGGGGGGGAATTTATCGTCAATAAATCAAAAAACATCGTCAAAAATTTAATAAAAAATTAGATACACCTTTTTTATAATTTATTGTTTCTTGAATAAAGGACTAATAAAAGTTTAAATATAATTAAGTTTTTCATTTAAATGGTTGATGTTTTTATTCAATTTTTCTATTTCAAGTTTTCCAATAAAAGATAAAACAAAAAAATTTGGTTTAATAAATCGAATTATACTTCATGTTTAATGAAAATAAGGCTTAAAAACGTTAGGCTAAAAAATCGAATTATACTTCATGTTTAATAAAAATAAGGCTAAAAACGTTAAGGCTAAAAAATCGAATTATACTTCATGTTTAATAAAAATAAGGCTTAAAAACGTTAAAGTAAAAAAATTGCTGGTTTTTATTAGCATTTTTATAATGTTTGAAAAAAAAACTAATGAAAAAGAATCAACTAATAATATATTAATTAATAATTATATATTAATTCTTTTTTATTAGTTTTTTTTTTCAAACAGTATAAAAATGCAAATTAAAGTCAGTAATTTTTTTGCTCTAACGCTTTTAAGCCATTTTAAACATGAAGTTTTGATAAACAAAGATAAAAACCAACTTTTCAACTTTTCGCTTTAACGACCTTGTAAAAATTTTCCACGCAGAGATTTAAAGTAATTTAAATTCAAAAATGTTTTACGTTGAAAGAAAATCTCCGCGCGAAAGAGCATCAATTCATCTATCTATTCAGAATAATAAATTTTGTGTGACGTTCTTTATGATAAAAACATTTCTTTTAAGAATTGCTAAAAAAAAATGCTAAGCTAGAAAAAAAGTAATTAATCAACCAAAAAAAAAACAGTCGCGAAAAGATTTTCTTTTAAGAAAAAACTAATCACAAAAGTGTGTGTAGCAATCGCGATCGCGATACGCTTAATACGAGCCCTGTAAGACTTTTTTATAAGTTCTAAACTATATAAAACTATTACTTAATAGCTTTTTTTAGCGACGTCTTTCAACCGATTGCTATTATGTTTTTGCAAAACTAATTAAAAAAACTTGATTAAAACTTAACTATTTAATCACGACTTTTTTTTACTTGAAAATCGAAGTAGATATTCTATAGTTGTTGTGACGTACTAACGTGATTTTTAACGACTAACAATCGAGTTTCAATGGTGAAAAAATAAAATCAAAATGGAGTTGTTTTTTAGTGATTTCGGCAATTGCTTTTTGTTAGCATGCATTTATTATTACAATTTAGTGAAAAAGAAAAAAAACTTACATATTTTTTTTTTATGCTCTTTCATATGAGATCATATGTTAGGAGCACTTAGGGATCCCTTTAATTTATTCAGATAGCCTAAAATATGATAAAAATATTTTTGTTACAATTGTTCTTTAAGAAAACCAAAATAGAATGCATATTTTATTAAGTCCCAGCATTTAATTGCTAAAACAAAGAAAAATAAAAAATCAAATATATATTATCAATAATATATATATATATATATATATATATATATATATATATATATATATATATATATATATATATATATATATATATATATATAGACATATATATATACATACATACACATATATATATATATTAGGGTGGTCCAGATTTGTGTGGTGAAAATTCAAAGTGTGTCTAGACTCTCTCCACAAGCCTAACTTTATTCCACTATGCTTAGGGAATAATCATACAAAAAATTGGACCAATCTGAACAGTTTTAGGGGTCGCTATGATTTCAACATTTTTTTGACGGTACTCGATTTTTACGAACTTTTGTGTAAGTTTTGCATAATTGAACATCTATCTCAACATTGTGGTAAATAAATTAATGCTTGCTGAAAAGCAGATGCTATATAAATTCATTTATATATCTAATATCTTTTAGTTGTCTATTGTCACATGATTTGGCGGCCATCTTGTAATAAGCACATGTCTGCAGTATTTCAATAAAAATTTTATAAGGATTATTTTTTTATTTCTGGTAACAAATATTCTTATACTTAAGTATTATATTTTATATATATATTTATTATATAGTTAATATAATGAATTACAAATAAATTATTATTAAATTAAATAGTTTTCAAAAAGAATATGCTATAAAAATTCATTTATATATCTAATATCTTTTATCAATTGTCACATGATTAAGTGACCATCTTGTATTAAGCACATGTCTGCAATATTTCAAAACAAATTATGTTTTTCAGTAATGTTTTTTCATTTCTGTTAATAATATAAAGTACTAAATATAAATTATATAAAATTAAATAGTTGAAGAACAAAGAATCATTTCAACTTAAACTTCTGCAGGTAATTAATAAATAATAAAAATATATATTACACCACTTATGGCAGTTACTACAATAAGCTCTGCAGAGGTATGGCTCATTGGGAAAGCATCTAAGCAGCTCTCCTCGTCAAGATTGGCAACAAATGGAGATGTCCTCCGGTGTCTCCTCTTTCATCATCTGGAAGAGCATCTCACAATAAAGGACAGCATTCACCATACGATTCAAGAGCTGATTGTTATGTGGAATAAGGCAAGAATCCCAACACAAAGAATTGATTCTGGTGAAAGAAAACTTCAGAAATTATACGATTCCTATCTGCTCCTAAAAAAGAATCGAACTACAGACCTGGAAAGCAGTAGAATTAAAGAACAGATGTTCAAAGACACACTTTACGAGCTTTTTGACTTGGCAACTAAAACCGCAATGGAGACAATAACCATTGCTGAAGATAGGCAATTTCTTGCAATGCAGCGAGAAGATGTTACCAGCTGCAGCATGTAAATATATTATATTAGCCATATATTCAGCAAGCGAGATTCTCTCCAGCTAAAGATGAGCTTTTCATCGGAGATATGGAAATCCTTCGAAAGGAAATGGTAGCATTCTACACCAGAGCCATCGACGAAAAACAACCTAGGGAAGATTATCTTGAACTACTTCGGTTATGCCTGGTCTTTCTAGGGGGAGGCTCTGTTGGTGCTGAGATAAAATTTCGAGCTCCAGGAGCGATGCATCATGCTCAATGGATGTCAAAGGCCATCTACGCTCTGAAAATGGTACTATTTCAAGATCAGCTCACTCTGACTGTTCGAGAGAAGAAAGGTCTAGTAGAGCTTGCATTGTTTGTGGCATTAATTTACGGACGTTTTTGGCACGAAGCTCCACTGGCTGCAAATGCTCCGTTTAATGATGCTCAAAAGCTGAAACAGTTCCAAAAGTATCCAAACGGCACAATCGCCGATGCAGCTTTTACTGCATTTTCTCGACACCTTTGGTTCTTCTCGGAACATCTTATAGGTCTAACATTTTTTGATAGTCGCGTTGATCTGGATGTGAAGAGGGCCATGGTGGTTAACCTCCAGGGTTGGAAAAAACCAGGGTTTTTTAAAAAAACCCAACTTAAATGGGTTTTTTTGGGTTTTATTGGGTTTTATGGGTTTTTTGGATTTTTTTAAAAATCGATCGCAATACCAAATTTCTATAATTTGTATGAGTACAATAGTTTTTTTTTTTAATTTCATAAACTCACTTCCCTATTGCTCCAATGACCATTTCAGTCAAGGGAGCAACTCATTTTTTAAAAATATTTTGTCTCAATCTTTATTATTACCATTTTTACTAACAAACAACATTAACAACTAAAATTTTTAAACAAAGGCGCTGTGTGGAGAAATAGACTGAGACAGTATTTTCAGCAGAGGTAATTTGAACCCCAACCTTCTGGTTGTGAGCCAAATGTTTTGCTACTAGTCTACTAGCACATTTTACCTATAGTGCAACTATAAATGATGTTAATTAATTGCTCTAAATCTTGGGCAGTTGGAGGTTAATAACCTGCAACTGCCCAAGACAACTCTAGCACTGAAGAGAGTAGATTCCAAGAATACCGACTTCAACAGACTAGAGACATTCGTGACTATGAGAACCTATAGTTTATTCGAGTTGTTGAGCAGTACAGGGAGAGAGGAGGCCAGAAACTTCATTTCAAAAGATCCTAAATATTGGGAGGACAATGAATCATATCAGAAGTTGGCAGAGAGAGTCCAAAGAATGAAAGTTGTTAATGACAGCGCAGAACGTGGAATTGCATTAATTGGACATTACAACGAATCGATTACAAAGGATGAAGAACAAAAGCAGTTCCTACTTTGTTTTGTTCAACGTCACCGCCAGCTATACCCTACTTCATCCAAGGCAGCCATGTTGGCGAAAGATGACAAAATCGTTGATTAATAAACATACATTTTTCAACATATTCACAATATTCTTGATATTACAGTTTTTTGTTTAAAAATTACGAAAGTTACAAAACGTTGATATACTTTAATAAAAATTGATCAATTGATGATCTATATTTATTAGATACTCTACAGGCATTGTATTTACCTGATTTAAATTGTTAGTGGCATTAATTTTTAAATTCGATATTATATTTATAGTGAAAACTTAAATTTTTTGATTTTTTTATCATTGTGGTCAAAAAGTCAAAATTTATAGCAACCCCTAAATATTATCCGATTTGCTTCAAATTTGGCTACAATATTGCAAATATTAATAGGAACAAAGGCAGCCTTGTGGAGAAATGAATTTTAATAATTTATCATTTTGGACCACCCTAATATATATATATATATATATATATATATATATATATATATATATATATATATATATATATATATATATTAGAAATATATATATATATATATTAGAAATATATATATATATATATTAGAAATATATATATATATATATATTAGAAAAGGATGAATAAACCTAATATATTATAATAGTATATAAAAGCATGTAATTCATAAATACAATATTACTGTTATACTTACCAAAGAAATAAATAACCAGGTCATTTCTTCCAATTTTTGTAAGCACCTCTACAAAAGAATTGTAATTATCGATTCCTAAAAGCATACGCTGTTCTAAAATTTGAATTAATTTGATAGGAGTTGTAATCCTTTCAAGATCAGCATCACCAATTTGTTTTGAATAATAAAATTTAATTGCTTCAACATCTCTATCCAACAAATTAACTGCAATTTTCAGCAAGACATCTTTGTATTTTTTGTCATCCATGACTTTAATATACTTTAGGATATTTTAAATATTCAAACAATTTGGCAATGTCAAATAATGCTAAAATACATAATTATTTTAATGTCAATATATAACTTATTGAATTTAATATTAAAATAATAAAATAAGACAATATATATATATATATATATATATATATATATATATATATATATATATATATATATATATATACATATATCTCATCAGAAGAAAACTCAATTTAAGATACTCATTTTAGTTTTCTTCTGATAAATGGTCGGGAAAATGGTTAATCAAACTGAACAAGAGTAAATGTGTACCACTTTATTTAGAAATTTTTTTGTGAGTGGTTGAAATAGCGCCAGCCATAGTATTGGTGAGCGCGTGGGTGAGCACAAAACTGTAAGAGCGCAAAAGTGTTCATCAAACAGAGAAGATTGATCACTGAAATGTAAGAAACACATGGTAAAATGTTCATCAAAAGCAAATGAAATAATAGGGATAATAAGAAACACCTCACTGGCTGTTAATGCATGTTAACAATCATTTAAATTAATTTGTTCCTTTATTTAAAAGGGTTTCTCCTATTATAATACAAACATGGATAAAAATGAAGTTTATTATTTTAAATATAATTTAAAAATTAAATAATCTTTGAGTTTTATTTTTTTGTGTGTTTTATGTTAAAGTTGTTTTGTGCGTGTTTTAGTTTTATTTAAGTTCCTCTTTTGTTAAGATTTATTTTGTTATTCTAGAAAAAGTTGTCTAGATAACTTTTTAGCCCTATTATTAGCTGTAGTCAAATCGTCAAAATCAAGTTATTATTTGACCAAGTCTGACAAGAGCGTCATCAGCTAAACCTAAAGTTAAACAATGGAAACAGTTATTGATAAACAACTTTTAGAATATTACAACTTATTGAATATTATTCACAATAATTATACTTAAAATAAAAAAATTAGATTTAGGTATATATTTGTTTTATATTTATATAATGTGATTAGATATTTGTTTTATATTTATATTTGTTTTATATTTATATAATGTGGTTAGATATTTGTTTTATATTTATATAATTTGGTTCAATATTTATATTGATACAAAATTTAATCAAAGAATTTGAAAAATAACTAAAGAAAATAATTAAATAAAGTTTATTGATTGTTTATAATAGGAATAAACATTTTTACTTCTAAAGAGTGATTAAACAAAGATGTCTAATTAATGCTTTCAAACAAAATATTTCAAACATTATTGATTCTTATATTTTTTCACTTTAACCTTTAGTGATACTGCACTCTTAAACTAATTTTTAAGTGTCATCTACTAAACATAAAATTAAATAATGGAAAAAATAACTCATAAACAACTTTTTGAATATTAAACAGAATAACCAAAGCTAATTAACACAATAACTAAAACTAAAACTAAAAGTAATATATATATATATATATATATATATATATATATATATATATATATATATATATATATATATATATATATATATATATATATATATATATGTTATATATATATATATATATATATATATATATATATATATATTTATATGTATATGTATATATATACATATGTATATATTAATTATGCCAATCAAATACTAAACTTGATACAGTTAAAAAAACAAGCACTTATTAATTTTTACATCACATTACACTGTAATACAATATGAATATAAATGTAAAATATAAATGTTTATAAAAAATATATATTATTAATGCATTTGTGCTTTTTTTTTAGCTAAGCAAAATTTATGATTTTCAATTATTATTTTAAAATAATAAATTAAAAAAAGAAAAATGGGATGTACGAATATAATTATATCATTTATATTATAAATGATATGAATCTAATTATACGATGATTAAAAGTTAAAATAACATTCATGTCATTCATGTAATATAGTATTCATGTAATATATACTTTCAAGTCTCGTATTTAGCTCCATTTCTTTTTTTAATTTTAGCAAAAAAATATATAAATATTTTCTCAAACACTCATAACATTAAATATATTTATTTCACTACTAAAACTATTTCATTCTATTTAGTATTCGATGGTAATTATTTTTAACACATTTGGCGTTTGTTGTGTCTATTTACTTTACATTTTGCAATGTTGTCGCGTTTAACAAATGACAGTACAAGAAGTACATTTAAATGCGTAGTGGTCTGTTTGGACAGTTTTGCGGACAAATATTTACCCACTACATTTACTTATAATAAATTACAATACGTACAAATTATGACGCACTGTAGTTTTTTTGTTTTGCATTAGTTTTTATCCAATACTTTTATATTCGAAGATAGATGTTAGATGAAGACGATAGATAGACTTTTTAATTAGAAGATTTTTTTATATACTTCAAACTTATATTTATTTTATTGCTTGGCATCACAATACTATTAAATAAATACACAAACAAGTACTAATTGGCTTCAGTAGCGTTTTCTGATGCGTCTGTTAGGGCGTGTTTCTTTGGCTTTATGCTTTGTGTTTAGATGTTTCACATTTTTTTACTACGTCGTTTTTTTATTTTGTGTGTAGCGTTTAAAGAATCACTTGGAACATTTTTATTATAAGTAAAAATTAAGTGGGGATAGGTCGCGAAAGTTAATTAATTTCTTTAAAGAAACGTCATAAACATAGAGCCCAAATTTCTGATACACTGTAATAAACTTTAACCTTCCTATGTGTGCTATTTTAATAAAAAAAACTTAGGGTTTGAACAACATTTACTTCCCGGAAGCCATTTTCAAAGACTTATAATTAAGAATTTAAAACTCAACAAACAATATCTTTTGTGAAGAAATTCAACAAAACTCAGCTAACAATATCTTTAGTAAAGATATTTAACAAAACTCAATATACAATATTTTTAGTAAAGATGTTCAACAAAACTCAACAAACAATATCTTAATTAAAGATATTGGGGTAAAGACTTTACCCCAAGTTACATAGACTTTATGCATAATTTTTAAGCATAGAGTCTAGCCACGATAAATAATTAGTTAATTAATTATTTATCGTGGTAAATAATTAATTAACTAATTATTTACCACGATAAATAATTATTTAAATAATTAATTTTTTTAGCAAAACATTTAGAAATGGAAGATTTTTAAGATTCTAACGCCCTAATGACAGTGATAGCTTTAAACTTCTAGTCACAGAATTGTTCGTATGGTATTTTCAGCTCAATAAACACTACATAGGGAAACTGCGCATATGATGGCAACTTTAAAGCTTCATATCATAAAGACCAATAATAAAAGTTTTGATATAGAATTCTTTGTTACATGTAGAATAATAATAACTCTAAGACTTTTCATCAGTTTTTTCTTTTTAAAATAGTTATTCCTATTTTTTAAGAAAAAGCACAAGTACGCCATCATAGGCAACCACTGTTCCTATGATGATATAGTGGAGGATGGTGCTGGTTAGGATGTAGGGTAACTTAATGATTTCATTTAATTTTAGAGTCTTCCTTCAGAAAAGCAAGAAATTACTCGGAACCGTCCTAGTTTACCATTTCATGTTATACAGCAGCATTGTAAAGTTAAACGCATGCGCATAGGATATATTACGTATTATGTATTTTATGAATCAAAAATCATTTAGAGCATTGCTTTCGTTTTATTTTATTAAAAAATAAGTTTTTCTTATAAAAAAAAAGGTTTTCCCAACTCGTCAATATTGTAACACACCCAACTCGTCAGTATGGCATCATGGGAAGAAGTCATCATTTTCATTAAAACAAGCTGTGTCTGCCTCATTTAAAAAATAAAATTAAAGTAAGTATTCCACTAAATGCACAAAACTTGGATATAAAATGCATGAAAATTCTCTTTTTGCACATTTATTAATAAAATCACAATCTTACGAAGGGAATAAAACTATTACTGCAAATCCCAAATTCGATTTTTGTTGATTATAAAAACAATATTTGCGCACAAGGAACTTGTTTTCACTAAAACTAATGTAGAGTTAGTGTAATTATGTAGTTCTAATCAATTTTTCACCAAAACCAATTTTTATTGAAATATGACCGGTGTTATGCCATTATAGGCGCCATTTCCCTACTTATATATACTAAATTAACTAATTTATTTTTTCTATTGTGACAATAATATTATCAATAATTTACAAAACTATAATTATTTTAAATATTATTTAATAAAAACTTACAGCTATTCAAATCTTTCAATATCAAAAATGCAAGCATACTTTTTTAACTCAACTTTCTTTTATTAGCAAATGCAATTGTTCAAATTTAATAAAGAAAAGTCTATAATGTTTCTTTTCGTCATGCTTTTTATTTGACTTTTAAACAATATCACACACCCATTTATTGACAAATTATTTCGCAGTGTTTTTATGTTACACATTTACTGCAATTCACGTCTTAAACTTTCTTTGTATGTTCCGGGTAAACAGCAAGTGATTTTTAATTTTTGATATTCGAGCTTCTTTGTGAGTTGTGAAGAAAAAAAAAATTAAAATTATTCTAAACCATCAGATAAGAATTTTTAGTTTAATATAAACCACACGTATATAAAGTGTTTAAGTGTTATTCTTGTGTTTAAGTTTTATTGCTGTGTTTAAGTTTTATTCTTGTGGTTTATATATTAAACATTTATTTAAAAATTTTTAAACTGATTTTATTGCAAATTTTCAAAATGTATTTATTATATGAAATAATAACTAATATAGTAAAACGAAGTTAAATGAAATAAAAAGTGTTGCAACTCTTACAGTAAACAAATTTTAAAATATTCTCATTTAAATTGTAAATAACTTTAGGCTGTAATGATTATTTTACTGCTCATTAACAAAGCTGTCTTGCTTTTTTGCAATCAAAAATTTATAATTTATATATATATATATATATATATATATATATATATATATATATATATATATATATATTAGGTTGACCGGAAAGTAATGTCGTTTTTGCGCATGTTGACATTCGATAATCGTTGGCCAGTTTATTGTGTCTCGAACACGTGCACAGGTTATTTTTATATTAGTGTGACTTGTTTACTTCTAAATTATTTAAAATTAAATAGTTTTCTTTGCAAATTGGAGTGAAATGGCATACGAAATACAGGAAGTGCATATTCGTCATTGTATGCTTTTTGAATTTCGCAAGGGTAATAACGCTACAGTTGCGACTAAGAACATTAGTGATGTTTACCCAGGTTCATTAGATGTTCGCAAATGCCAGAGATGGTTTTCCAAGTTTAGATCTGGGAATTTTGATCTTTCTGACGCCCATCGACCAGGAAGACCAATTCGTTCTAAGGGCAGAAGTTGAAGCAAATCCATGCCAAACCATTGAAGAATTGTCGAACACCCTTAACCAACCTTGGTCGACTATCCAAGAACATTTACACCAGATAGGAAAAATCAGCAGAGCAGGTGTTTGGGTTCCCCATAACTTGTCAGTGCAAAACAAAGCCAACAGATCAACCACGTGCAATGCATTGATTCAACGGCATCATGCAGAACCGTTTCTTGATCGTTTGGTCACTGGAGATGAAAAATGGGTCCTATAAGATAATCCAAAACGCAAAAGGCAGTGGCTCTCCCCAAATGAACCAGCACGCAGTACTGCAAATCCGGGATTACACCCCAAGAAGGCGCTCCTGTGTGTTTGGTGGAGCATCCGCGGAATCGTCCACTTTAAAGTGCTTATTCCTGGACAAACTGTTAATGCGGACCTTTATTGTCAACAATTGGATCGAGTGAACCAAGCTCTAGTTGAGAATTACCCGGCTATCGTCAACAGAAAAGGTGTCATTCTTCAACATGACAATGCAAGGCCGCACTGTGCACGACGGACGCTAGAAAAAATTAATGAATTGGGATGGGAGGTGCTGCCCCACCCTCCATATTCACCTGATATCGCCCCTTCAGATTTTCATTTGTTCCGATCCTTATAGCACTTTCTAAGTGACAAAAAATTTCAAACTTTGTACTGCTTAAAAAATGGCATCTCCAGATATTTTGATGACAAACCAATACATTTTTTTCGATCTGGTATAGAAAATTTGCCCGCTAGATGGCAAAAGGTTGTGGAAAATGAGGGTGATTATATCATTGATTAAAAATAAATATTATAAAAAAATTATTTGTTTTAATTTGACGTAAAAATACGACATTACTTTCCGGTCAACCTAATATATATATATATATATATATATATATATATATATATATATATATATATATATATATATATAATATATATATATATATATTAATAATTTATATATATATAATAAAGTTAGTTGAGACACGTTCCTTGGAAATATTGCCGGTCCACTTTTTTTATATGTGTCAACGAGTTGAATGACAAAAGTAACAACAACATCAACAACAACAACAACAACAACAACAACAACAACAACAACAACAACAGCAACAACAACAATAACAACAACAACAACAACAACAACAACAACAACAACAACAACAACAACAACAACAACAACAACAACAACAACAACAACAACAAAAAAGGATGCAAAGCGCTGTAAAAGAGTTTTACTCAAAATTCTGAGTTTGGATCGTCCACAAAAATTGCCACGCATAATTTATTTAAAAATTTTTAATGTTAATAAAATGATTTTTATTAATTCTATTTTGATTTTTTATGTAACTTAAGGCTCTGTGGATCGTCTGATGATCTTTTTTGTTTTATTTAATAAAACAAAAAAGATCATAAGTTTTCTGCCGCGGCAAAATAAACAATAAACAAAAAAAACTACGCTACGCTAAACTAGTAAATATTTAATAATAAAACTTAGCGTTGCGTTTATTGTTTATTTTGCCGCTTAATAATATATATATTTTTGAAGCATATAAACAAGTACTTATTTTTTGTACTATAATTACTAACTTTTATTTTGGTATTAATTATAACAAGTGATAATTTTAAAAGTAAAATTGTGTGAGTTGCCTAGCATGTTTGGCCAAAGAGACCGCCAGGTTTTATGTCGTGTCACTCATACAAATTTTTTTTTATTTTAGAGTATTAATAGTTTACTTAAAAAAAATGGGTTTTTTAAATCCGAATACGTTGCAAAGTGTCAAAAAAGGGCAAGAAAAGGGCAATGCAAAAGTTTCTAGCCTCATATTTTTATAAATGATTATAATAACGAATTTTATTCTGATTAAAAATTGTATAGAAACATACGCTTGAAATTTAATGGAAAGTTCTCTATTTTACATTTAAAACAAAAAATTTATATATTAAAATGATGAAATTCGACATCTTTTTGAATATCTTATTTGCAACTTACGTAATTTAACCGAACTTCTTACAACATATAAAATACCTGGTTTTTATTAACATCAATTTTAAATTAATGAATTTATTAGAAGAATTTAAAAGTTAAAATATTTTTTAAATAATGAAAATAATAGCCGCTTTGTATTTTCTATTTATATGTCAACATAAATTAATAATAATAAATTAAGCAACTTTTTAAATTTTTTAATGAGAAAATAAAATCCTGGCTGCATAACTGAAAGATTTTTTAATTGTTTTTAACTAATTTTTGCCGATCTAGTAACTTTATATAAAAGGAATTTTGCATTAGCTTTTTTTTAAAATTGCAATTTAAATTAAAGTTTTCTCGAGATTAAGTATTTTAACTTAATGGTGTTATATTAAGTTTGCATTTTTTTGGATATAATTCACATTGATTTCATTAAATTTAAATGGCTGGTGTTAGCGAAATGCAACATAACTAATTTTTTTAAATTGATTAAATACTATAATATTATATATCATTAGAAAGCCCTTAAATACAGTATTTAAAAGGTGAAAAAATTATGAAAATCAGACTATTCAATAAAAAGTTATAGCGTTTTTAGTAGCAAATTTTTGATATATGGATTTCTTGATAAAACTGTTGTCAAAAAAATTTTTTTTTTTACATAAATTGTTATATATTTGCGAATTCTTATTCAAATATCTATAACTTGGTATCAAAAGATAGATGTAATTATGGGCTATAATTTCAAACTAGTTTATAGGTAAAAGGCGCATCGAGGGATCCAGAGGGGGTGCTAATCCACCACCTACCCCTCACAAAATTACGCTATTTTTTCATAATAGTGTTTTTCTTTTTAGAAATTGGTAGTATTTATATACAACGAGTTGTTTTTTATTTTTTCCACACCACTTACAAATTTTACAGGTCTATCTTAAAGTTTGGTTTTGGTTTGTGGTGCAGGTTTAACACACCCTATAAAAATTTAATTTTTTTAAATATTACAATCTTTACTAAAAATGAAATCTATGACAAAAAACAAAAAATATATTTCAACATTTAAAAAAATATTGACTATTGGTGTATAAATTGCTTTTATGAAAGAGGGCGTATGCTGCCCCCCTTCCGCTCCTGAAAAAAAATTTTTAATGAAAATTTTACAAAAATTGTTAAAGTGTTTTTTTAAACAGAGAGAAACTAATACAAAAAATAACATTAATGTAATTGTTTTCGTTTATAGAATTGCCCCCCGAGCCGCTCCCGTATTTCGCTTGCCGAAAAAACAACAACAGAAAAACAGAAATTAGTACCAAAAGTGCTACACTTATTAAACTATTTGCTTATTATTTCTTTTTCAGTGAAATTTGGCATGTGCATAGAAAATGCATGTAAAAAACATTTTTTATAATAAAAAAAGAGGGCTCAACATTTCTTCGACTAAAAATTAATGTGAGAACATCAACCAAATTTTCATGCGAATTTGACAGCAAAATAGTCCATTAAAAAGTAATGCAACCATGCTTAACAAACATATAAAAATCAAGCTTAACCTTTCTACTTTTAACTAACAGCTTACAATTATATATGTTTCTAAAAAGAATTACTAGAAAAATAAGTTTGCCTAAGTCTACCTAAAAAAAGTGTTATACTTAAAATAACACTAATTAGACTATTTGCTTATATCTCTTTTTCGATGAAATTTGGCATGTGCATAGAAAATGCATGTAGAAAACATTTCTAATAATAAAAAAAAGAGGCTCAACATTTCTTCGACTATAAATTCATAAGAGAACACCAACCTATTTTTTAGTAGCAAAATAATCCATAAAAAAATTCAATAACAATACCTAAAAGTCTTATAAAAAACAAGCTTAACTCTTCTTCTTTCCAAAAATATACTATGTGTATATATGTTTTTATAAAGAAATTACTTAAAAATACGTTTGCCTTACACTACCAAAAAAAAAGTCAAAAAAACGAGTCAGAATTTTAGCACAAAATTCGGTTCCGTAAATCGCTATTTCCGCGTACCTAGTTGTTGCTGCTGAAAACTTTTTTGAGCAAGGTCTTTATATTTATCTTCTGTAAATTCAACAATAGAAGATTTGATGAAGCTGTATATATTCCGGTTATTCCCTGGAAATTAGCAGTTACCCAACTGTAAATTGTTCCAGTTGTAAAAAAAAATTTTATATGATCAAGTCCGGTAATACACCCAGAGGCTCGTGGGAGAGAAAGTATCAAAGGTAGAATGTAAAACTATATTTTAAACTCATTATTTCTGTCAAGTTTTTTTAAGCTATTAAGTTTATTAAGTTTATTAATATTAATTTCTTCAGATATAGATACCATCTATATAGAAATCAATAGTCTTAAAAAATAAGCTTTAATAATTATTAAAAAAAAGTTAAAAACGAAAATAACGTTATTACGTGTTTTTATTTTTAACCTCATTAATAAAAAAGATATACCTTTACTATTTATAGCAAATTCTAAATTGTAATGAAGCACTTATATTTATATAATTTTGTATTTCACTTTTAAAGGTTGAATGGAAAATGTTGACCAGAAATTTAAACGGAATGCTCCCAATTAGTAAAACCGAACCAGTTATATCTTTTTCTGCCAATAATTCAAAGCTCTGTGGACAATGCTACTCAATCTTATCAGAAGAAATGCCCACAACTGTTCTTCGTCAACTGCTGTAAAAAACTTGATTTTTCTATCCACAAGTCTAGGGAGCATTCAAGCTGAACAAGTTGCTTCAGGTATAATACAAAATAAATTGAGTTCAGACTGCACTTTAACAGGGACAACATTTTCTTTATCAACTGGGGTAGGTACGTGCACTGAAATTTTTATATTGATCATATAGTAGAATGTTATACATCATTAGAAAGGCCTCTAATACAGTATTTTAAAGGTGAAAAAATTATTAAAAACGAACAATTCTAAAAAAAGTTATAACATTTTTAGTAACAAATTTTAGATATATGGAATTGTTGAAGAAACTGTGGTCAAAATAATTATTTTTTTCGCTTAAATTGTTATAACTTTGTCAATTTTTATCCAAATACCTATATCTTGGTATCACAAGATAGGTGCACTAATGGGCTACAGGTTCTTTTTGGTGCCTGGATGTAGGGTGTAACTTGGGAGCCAGAGGGGGTAATGAAACACCATCTAACCCTTAAGAAAATACAAGTTTTTGTCAGAAATAAGCACTTTTTAAATGTAATTGTTATATTTTATACACAAAATATTGCCATAACTTGATTCCAAAACACTGCCAAACAAAATAAGGTGATCTTAGAGTTGACCATAGATGTGGTTGTAATGTTATAACACCCTAAATACAATAATCATACTTTCTAATAAATAATTTAATCTTTTTTACAGTAATTTAATATTTTGTTAAAAAGTAAAAATATTTTTTTTTACTATAAAACATACATTAGTGATATACAACACTAACTTTAGGGGAGGGTGTATGTCGCACCGCCCCCCCCCCTGACTCATAAAAAATAAAAATAATTTTTTCTTTATTACAATAATTAAATGCATTGTTAAAAATTAAAAAAAATATTTTATTACTATTCAACATATATTATTGATGCACACATTGACTTGAAATGAAGGAAGTATGATCCACCCCCTCCCCCCACGTGACAAAAAATAATCTTTTATAACTATACAATATACATTGGTATTGAAAATATTGTTGTATTACATAAAGCAATATTTTTTTTACTATAAAACATAATTTGAGGAGAGGGATAGTTTTCCCCCTTCCCCTCAACCAACATAAAAAAGAAAACACATAGAAAAGACATTTTCAACATTTTCACATGCAATTATTAAAAAAGAGAAAGCACAATACATAATTGTTTTACCAGATTACAAGTTGCACTAGTATACATTTTCTCATTTAAATGATCATATTTAACCCACCAACCTAATAAAAAAAAAAATAATAAAATGTTTTAAAACATAGTAATTACTCTATGTCTTGGCTTTTAGTAAATGATTTTAGTTTTAAGATCGAAATGACCTATAAGCTTCATATGTAAGCTCTAAAAACAAATAAAATATTAATGTATTTGTAATTCATGTAATTAAAAATTAAAAAAATTAAAATAAATACTTACCAAGACAGTTTGACTGAATATATATAAAGAATGATTAATGAATCAATGAAATTTTTAATAAAAGTTAATCAGAATAAAAACTCAAACATGTATAAGCTTCTGATTCTCCTTTTATAGCACTTGGAGAGATAACAAAACACAAAAGTATTAAATAGATGATATAAATAGGAATAAGAGGAACTCAATAGAAAATAAAGGTAGTACAGATGGAACTAAAAGTAAAATTTGTTTTAATAAAAAATACAAATTGCAAATGGTAATAAATGCATTCATAGTCTAAAAAGTAATAATTTTTATATAAAAATGGTTTTAATTAAAAACCAGTTGATAAGAAATGCAATTGCAAAAAAGAATATACAATTGATAAGAAATGCATACACATGTTAAAAGAAAAAAGGTTTTGAAACTTACCAGGCGTAGCCACACGTATAAAGAACTAAAGGTAAAAAATATATTATAAAAATCAATATTGCAATCAATGAGAAATTTGTGCACATTAAAAAGAGTTGTTTAGGTGTAGCACAAAAGGTAGATACTAAAACTACAATGTTGTAACAAAAAATCAATATTTTAAATAACGAGAAATGCATACACATAAAATGTAATAGTTTTTTAAATTACTAGTTGCAGCACATGACTAAGGAAATAAAGTTAAACGTATTGTAAAGGAAATAAAGTTAAACAACTTTTTAATTTCACATTAAAAAGTTGTTTAACTTACCAAGTGTAACACAAAAGATAGATACTAAAATTAAAAAATTGCAGCAAATGGGAAATCCATACACAACAAGTAATAATTAAATAAGTAGGAAATACATATATTTATTTATATTTTTTTAATGGTTAATAAAAGTTATGCTATAATAACTTACCAGCTGTAGTCTGTGCATATTGGAAAAATGATAACAAAAAAAATTGTATAATCAAAAAAACAGATCTTGAAATTGTCAACAGTCAATAAAAATAAGTTATTAAATCAGTTCTGCTTTACGTATAACAACTTCACTAACAAGAAAAAGGTATGAAAAAAAAAATTAAAAACAAATAATATTACTGTATTTTAAAATTATATTACTGTATATTAGAAAGACACTAACAAGATATAAGAATAAACTTATTATTGTAAAAGTATCTTGATATTTTTACAAAAATAAGCTTATTATTATAAAAATACTTTGTCAAAAACGTTATTGGCTTAAGTAGCGATTCCACGGCTAAGCGAAAAACATTTGACGTTTGACAAAAAACAGGAAATTTTCATGAAGTTTGCTCTCTTATATCTTTTTGTATAGGAAAGCAAGCAACCTCAGGTTTTTTGCATCAATCAGTGTAACTCAAACTCTTTTCAGCCATATATGAAAAGTACTATGCTTTATATGGCTTCACTTAAATATTATCCATATCTTGAGACCACTTTTGAAAAAAAATCTTGAAGCGGGAACGTTTTTTTAAAACGAAGCTTTTGAAGGTAAGGATTCCGAAGTACCAAAACAGATCCAATTTTTATAAAACTTTCCGTATATATTAAAAAAAGGTTGAGGAATCTAATGGAATGTGAACACTTTTTAACATTTATACATAAGTTTTTAGTTCTCAGTGTTTAAAAACTTCAAGGTTAATTATTATAGAAAAAAAAGTGATTTTTGAAAGTGTTCAAGTGGAAATGGCAAATTCAGCCTTTCCTCTTTTTAAAACAAGTGTTTAATTATGTTTTCTTAAAAAATAGGTGCTTCGGATTTGTATATTAGAATTATGTATATATACATCTATATTTCTTCGCGTATTTTATGACGTTTTTTGTTTTGATTTTGCAATTCCGAAATTTTAACTACAAATAAAATTGAAAGTGAAAGTATATTCCTTATTAATGACCTAAGTTTTCAAGGCAATAAAAATAAAGATTTTATATTTTTAAAGGTATTTTGTCTGAATTGGTCAACTACAAGCTTGATTCTCACTGTTTCTACTACTGTTTTTAGTCTGTAGATTCTCTAAACTGTTTTTTTCAAAACAAAAAGAAACAGTAGTCAACTAAACTTTTAGTCTAAAGTTTACAAAATGGAAATGTGTAAGAATGTTATCATTTTTTTTTTTCATTTATTTTTATATTTTTTTATTAACTAAGTAAAATAACCAATGAACTTTAATTTCAAATTCAAATTCTCTTCTTTAGGCTGTGAACTTAACAATCTACGTGAAATGGTGGTTCAATCTATAAGTCAAGAATGTAAGTCATACTTTGATAGACTTTTTAAATTTTTAAATCCGGAAAAATGTATAACAAACATTTTATATTTCAATAATTTTATTTATAGAATCTTAAGCTTGATGATCTACCTTTATTTTATTTTCACAAAGCTAGATATTATCAAACTTCAACTCTTTGATTAACAATAGATTTATTGTAATCACTCAAATTAAATTTAATATTAATTTTAGCTACCAAAGTGTTGTCTGAAATAGAAACCTGCAAGAATATTTTGGATTTTCTGGATATATATGATGGCATTATTTGTCTCAAATATCCTGATTTTGTGTTAACCAATAGCCATTTTCTACAAATTTGCAAAGACAAAAATAAACATAACATAACATTAGAAAATCTTTCATTATTTTTTACAACCTACTGTAAGTATAATATCTCTAGAGTGATGTTTATAAGGATCTTAAAAAAGTTAAAAGGTTACATTGTAAAATTAAATCGAGCCAAAAATTTGGACTTCAAAAAACATTTTTTAAGCTCTGCTTTATCTTTTAAAGGTGCTTTTTCTGATGTTGTTGGTTTGTTACCTTCTGATGCTTGTTCTACCCCTACTTCTATCTACAATAGTGAAATTGTTCCAAATCAAGTTACTGTTTTTGTATTTTCTGATTTAAATTTGCAAATTACTAATGATGAGTTGTCGTAACTTGTTACCCCAACTTCTATTATATACATCCCTGTAGAAAATAGGTCTGAAAAATTTCTTACTGAAATCTAGGAATATATGCAGAAAAATCAATAATAGAATGGGAAAAAGTGGTTGAGCAGGAAGGTAGTATTCATGGTGGTTTTAAAAGTTCTCAAAACTCTCGCACCTTTGATATTTTGTATGAACTTTTAAAACTTACAAGCTATCGGCATGGTGATCAGCAAAATGGAAAAGCTGATGAATGGAAGGCATTTTTGCGTAAAAGGTTTACAAAAAATTTTATGGTTTCATTTCTGCATCATCGCTTTAATATTATATTTGTACTTGGTGGAGCAATGTATTATCATAAAGACCACCTTAAAGAATTTGTTTTCAATCTTGGTGGTTCAAATTTTCTTCATGAGTCAATTAGGCATGATATTGACAACATCATTTTTCATGCTTCAACTAGAGCTCTGGGAATTTTCAATAAATTGATATCAGGACCTCTTTTTCGTATTATTGAAGAGGAAGGTCATATTTTCTCTTTTAATACCGTTTGGTTGCAAATGTTCAATTATTTTGTTTCTTGTTTTTCTGATGCATCAAAAATGTTAATCGGTTCTACCTTTTTTGATGTAAAATATCTCACCAAGGATGAAGTGTTTGATCATTTATTTTCTGATTGTAATGACCTACTTTTGGATGCCTTAACCTAAGAATGTCTTGAAGTTATATGTTGCACATGTTTGGTTATGATTTAGAGTCAGTTAAGATACCAATTGCCTGTAGGAAAATATCACAATCCGGGTGATGATGTGCTTGAAAAAACTCAAAACTGCCCATGTACTAATGTTGTGTCTGAACGTGACTTTGCTTCCTATGACCGCAGGTTAAAAATGAAACCTAACATGACAACAGTAGCTGCAGCTGGTGTGATCATGTTTAACAACAACAAAACAGCTGATTGGATAGATGGAAAATTACAGGATAAAATTGAAAGGCTAGTTATATTAGCAAGGCGAAATAGAAAAGGGTATATAAGAAAGTACAGAGAGAAAAAAGCAAATATATTGCAGTACAAAATTGATGAGATAGACAAGCGCAACTTAGAAAAGGAAATAAAGGAACAAAAGGCAAGCGAAGAGAAAGAGTTTTTGACAACAGAAATCGGAAAGGATGGTGGTTTAATTTTGTGTGAAGAGGATTTTGAAAAAATTTTAGGAACTGAAAATGAAATTGTAATGAAGTTGCAAAGACAAATTAAATTTCGAAAAAAAGTATTACAGCAAAAATTTCCAGAAAAGTGGTTACAATTAGGAGAAGGCAAAAGGGGAGTATTACAAAAAATTTGGTATTGATAAATTAAAAACCAATCTGATATCAATTTTTAAATTTTTAAAAGACGTTCCTGAACAACGCGCAACTGCAATAAAATGTTCAGTTATCAGACAGATTAATGAAAGACAAGAAATGTTGTTAACATTAAAAAAAAAAGTCAGATTAGAGGGTGACGCAAGGTTAATTATGGAAACTGGAAGTAAAATAAAAACAGGCACATTAAAGGGAGGGGTTCCAAAGTTTTTAGGAAAAAGAATAAAACAAAGTGGTAGATAATGATGGCAAGGATGTATGGTATTCAGGGCTCGTGGTAAGTGTTCTAGACGACAATGAATTTGATGAAGAGTGTGAGTTTCAGATACTATATGATGGATATGAAGATAAGTATGACACTGAGTTGGTCAAAGAGTGGAGGATGAAATGTGTTGTGGTAGAGGGAAAAGCTGATGGTTATGTGGAGGGCGAAGTTTGTAAAAAACAAAAATGCAGTTAATATCATTTTTGACACAATGGGGATTTAATTTATTGTATTTATGTTTGTTATTATTCTTATTATTAATAATATTATTGTTATTATTATTTTTATTGTCATTCAATTTAATGTGTTCTTGTTTGTGTTCTGTTTGGTCATCTGAAGCGGTGTTGGCGCACCGACAATTCTTTATATGTATATTTGTTTTCTATTGGACATCTGCCGTCATGGTGACATACCCGTATGTCATGCTTTCTATTTTTGTGCTGACATACCTGTCAATATATGTATCCTTGTGTTTACATTTTTTTGTGTTTGCATGTATGTTTTTGTAGGTGTGTCTGCAATTATTTGCATGTTTGTTTTTACTCACTTGTTAGTCACTATATGCATGTTTGTGTTTATGTATCTGTTAGTCATTATGTGTATGTTTGTGTTCTGTTGGACCTCTGAAGTGGTGTTGACGCACATGTAAGTCACTATATGTATGTTTGTGTTTATGTCCCTGTTACTCATTATGTGTATGTTTGTGTTCTGTTGGACCTCTGGAGCGGTGTTGGCGCACCCGTAAGTCACTATATGTATGTTTGTGTATATGTATCCATTAGTCATTATGTGTATGTTTGTGTTCTGTCAGACCTCTGGAGCGGTGTTGACACACCCGTAAGTCACTATATGTGTGTTTGTGTTTGTATACCTGTTACTCATTATGTGTATGTTTGTGTTCTGTTGGACCTCTGGAGCGGTGTTAACGCACCCGTAAGTCACTATATGTATGTTTGTGTTTATGTACCTATGTGTTTTGTATGTACTATTGTGTTTACTTTGTACTTGTACTTTATGTGTTACTATGTACTATTGTGTTTATGTACCTTATGTATCAGTCATTATGTGTATGTTTGTGTTCTGTTGGACCTCTGGAGCGGTGCTGACCCACCCGTAAGTCATTATATGTATGTTTGTATTTATGTAGCCATTAGTCATTATGTGTATCTTTGTGTTTATCTACCTGTAAGTCATTATATGTATCTTACTCTTTTGTTGGAACTGTGGAATAACTATAATTTCATTTGATAATGCAGGTTAGTCATTTTGATCAAGTTTTTGTTTTTTTTATTTATATTTGTGTCTGTTGGTCTTGTGGCACAGCATTGAAACAACAGTAACCAAA